ATCCTGACAGCCCTGGCCTGTCTGTGTGGGTAAGCACAGTTTATTGATAGGAAGTAACTGAGAGAACAAACCCTTTCTTTTTCTTTTCTTTTTTAATATCCTTTTAGTGTTTTTTTTTAATTCCCCCTTTTATTATTGAATATTGTTACATAAATAAGTTGTTCATGATATTTTCCCTTTAATTTTCCCTTTTTACTAACCAATATTGTGTTAAGATAGTTATCCATAATATTGTGTTAAGATCCTTTTTTTTTGGTATCCCTTTAGCCCTCCCTCTTTTCACTAGTTAATTCTGTATTAAAAGTTGTTCGTAGTATTTGTTTTAATGTCACCCAATAAGGTAGTTATTTTGTATCCTTTTTTTTTTTTTTTTTTTTTTGGATTCCTCTTGTTAAGTCTATTACTATTATTATTATCCTCACTGTAATAAAGATAGTGTGTGTGTTTGAATATTTCTGGCACTTGTCTTTATTCCGGACATGTATCCAAACGAACTGTTACAAGCACAGGGATCACCTCCTCCCCTGCAGCTCACCTGGCAGGTCTCTCGAGGGTTGAGTCCCTCTTTAGTCGGCTTTTCATTGGTTCAGGTGAACTTCGGGGTGTTTTTGGGGAGTGATGCCGGAGACTTTTCAGGCTCTGGGGGGAGTCTGGCTTTTCCTTCCTAGACTTGTGTCTGCTTGTGGCTTTCCCCTCCTTCAAGTGGTCCTGTGCCTCTGCCTCTGGGGCCTTGGCATAAGGGGAGAGAGAAAAGGAAGAGAGAGGTGAGACCTGCCCCTCCTGGAAAGCAGAATGGGAGGTTTGTTAGTCAACAGGAGAGAGAATAAATAATTACTATCTGCCCATGAACTTGGTCTTCCTTATTGGCCTTTGTCTTGCCTCAGACACCCCTCCTTACCCAGTACCCTCTCCCCACCGAGGACCCTTGGGTTGATGGGTTTAAGCGATTTTTTTCCTGTTGTCTTACAGAACTGCTCTGTGTCTCCAGCAGAGCCGTCTCTTTTCTCTCATCCCTGGTGGAAAGGATGCCTGCAGACATGGGGCCCCATCACATCTTCACTGCCCCTCCACGGTGACCCTTTTCCATCCAACCTGTTCCCTGCCCTGGCACCCTCACTGAAGGCACAAAAGGAGTACCCACCACATCATCTTCTGCAGCAGCACCCTCAGGTTCAACAAGGATGAAGTGTCTGAGGTCTTCTGTTGCTGTGGGGACTCTGTCCTCCTCTGGGTAGGGAACCATGGAGAAAAGAGAGCCAGGGGGAATGGGAGGTCCCAGTCCCAGATAGTGCAGGATCTAAAACAGAAGAGAAAAGCCTGTTTATACTCCTGTCACCTTCATCCTCACACTCCTTCCCTAAAGGCCCCGAGCTTTTGGCAGTGGAGTTTTTGATTTACACGGAGTACAAGCGCTTTTTTTTATGTCCCATGGGTGAGCAGGCTCCAGAGCAGAGGCAGGACCTACAGTGGGACCAAGAGAGAAACCTCTCCCAAGCGACTCAGCTGAAGAGAACAATGCCTGGGAGCTGCTCTGCCCTGGGACCATTTTTAATGATTTCCAGACTGAGAAACTCTCTAAACAGATGGAATGCTTGGACACAGAGCACTCCCACTTTCCACACATCTGAGGGAGGCTGAGAACCTCCCCATCCACAGAGATACTGCGGAGCTATTGTGGAACATCATCAGTGCCTCGACAGGGCTCTGTGTTGTTATCACCTGGGGGACACACTGTTCCAGGGCCCCAGACCACGGCAAGTTCAGCATCTGAGCCCTGCAGGCTTTTACCTGCTTTGCTGGTGGCAGCTTCTTGCTCTTCAGGATCTTCTCAAACACCTTTTCACGACGCGTGACGTGGAAGTCCAAGCATGGCACTCCGGCACCCCGGCTTCCGACTGAGCCTTCTGCAACTTCCCCTTCCTGCTGAAGACTCTTGTGGCTGCCATGTTTTTTCAGAGGATTTTTCTCGGGCTTCTCCAGAGACTTACTGCTCTTCTTCTTGTCTTTGTGTTTAGGGGAAGACTGGGACTTGTCTTGCACTTGGTTCATGATACCCTGAACCCTGTCCCAGGATGACAGAATATCTCTGATCCTGTTCTGTGAAGACTCATAGATGTTAAACCTCAGGTCCAAGATCCTGTCCCGCTTACTCGGGACCTCTGGGATTTTGGTTTCCTGCTGCTGTTGTTTTGCTGCTGCTTTTCTGCTCTTTGTCTGGACCTCTGGTTTTTTGGTTTCCCGCTGCTGCTCTCTCACGGGTACCGTAAACTTCTCTGAGCGGCCATTCTTCTTCTTCTGCAGCTTATCTTGCTTCTCTGAGGCTCATGACGACGCCTTTTTGCTTTCCTTATGCTCTCGAGCCAGCTGCTCCAGCTCTCTTCTGCAAGCCAAAGAGAAAACACCCCCGAGAGTCACCACCAGAAACCTGGGCTCGCTGTAATCCCAGCTGGTTCTGCCCTTCACTCCTCGACCCTGAGGCCAGGCAGAACTGTTAGACCATCTCCGTGGACCTTCCTCAACCCAGACAGCTTGGGAATATCCCAAGTGAGGAAGGCTTAGAGGCGACGTGCTGGGCCAGCCAAACCTAAGCTTTGCCATCAGAAGGTATCAACTGTGCAGCTTCTCCCCTGCGGTTCACCCGGACACCTCCAGCACGCTGCCAAAGGCTGATCCACCATCTCTCTGCAGGGATGACTGAAGTCCCCCCTCTCTTGGTTTCCCAGTTTAAACCTGCCCATAAATTGCTAACACCTACTTATCCCTCCTCCAATGCTTACTTGGCTCCTTCTTCCCCCTTCTGCCTGGGCAGAGCCTGCTCATTAATGAGAATAATCATAGCAATCAGAAAGCAAAGGCTGCAGGAACTCCCCTCCTGCAAATCAGGCTCTGAACCACCAGGTTTCCTGCTGGAACACAGCTGTGACCAGGGCACACTTGTGCTGTCTGTCCTGGGAACTGATTTGAAGCAGCCCTGGCCATCTCCTCTCAGTGCAACAAACATCAGCTTGGGCTGAGAGAAGTACTGAAACACAGGCTCGCTTTAAGCAGCTTCCCCTCCCAGCTCCACCCTCTTCCTGTGCGTCCTCCTGAGCTGGGCTGCCTTGCTGGGCCAGAGCTTCTCCCGGGTTCACCTGCTGCTGCAGCTGAAGGGCAGCCTAAGCTTTTATGGATGGTGCTCCAGCCTAAGGAAAGCCCTGGCACATCAGCATTGCAAGGACTTCATCTAGGGCAGAACCAGGGTCTAAATCAAGCCAGCACAGCTGTGTCCCACACTAGCCCACACCACAATCCTGTGGGTTTGGTGAAGGAGTGGGATGATGAAGAAGATGAGAATCATCACACACTTTGAGACACTTCTGTGGGCAGTGGCAAGGCAAGGCCAGAGCCCAGCTCCCCACAGGCCATGTCTAAGCCAGAGGGCTCACGGCTAAAATGGAGAGAAGACATTCTCATCTCAACAGAGGAAGGTCCTTCCTCTCTTGGGAACCGGGGACCTGGACCTGGCCATCCTTGTGCTGCTTCTGGCCTTTGCTCTTGAACCCCTCTGAGCTCAACCAAGGTCCTTGGAGCAGAGAAACCCTCCAGGGACACTACCCTGAGGAGTAACCCAGGGGAGGCTTCCTTGCCTCTCCTTCCGCTCACGCTTGATTTGCTCTATTTTGTAATCAAGCAGAGCTTTCTGCTTCTCAGAGAGGGCTTCGTACTCGTCCACATCCACATCCCAGAGACGTTTTTCCTTTCTCCGGGCAGCTTCTTCCTCCTCCCGTGCTTCAGCACAGACCACAAGAGAAGCCATTAGTGACTGCAAGCAGAGCTTGGGGCTCTGGGTCAGCTATGAGGATTCACAGCTCTTTCCTGATCCAGCCTCTCACCCTGCCAGGAGACACTGCGGAGCTCACATCCCTGCTCCAAAATTCAGACAGCCCCCCAAACTGTGGCCTGGCTCAGGTGCACCATGGCTGTGGACAGCTGGCTGGGGGCTGGTCACTGAGCCACGCCAGCTTGCACTTGCACCCAAGCTTTAATGATGGAGATTAAGGTGAGTCTTACAGCCTCAGCTCTGCTGTATGTAAAGAAGCTGTGAGCTGAGTGCTGGCTACACTGAGGCAGAAGGATCAATAAAAAGATTTCTTACAAGCTCTGCTGCAAACCCAGATACACACAGCTAAGGGTGAGGGCTTGAGAAAGATTTGAGAGGGATGGAGATATCTCACCTTTCTGCTGTTTTTTAGCTGCCTTCTTCTGTCTTGCAACTATCCGCCTGCCTTTCCAAAACTCAGAATCCTGGAAGATGTTCACAACGTGGATATGAGGGCGATTGCTGACAGCTTTGAGCACGCACAGGAGAGAAGATGCCAGGCTGCTCGCAAAGAGGGTCTCCAGGCCATCAAACACCACTCCCTTGTAGCAGTCACTCAGCTGCCAGGAGAGACAAACAGGAAGAGCGAGTCAGCCATCGCACACGTTGGGCTCACAGCGGGTCAGTAAATGCAGATGTCTCAGGACACCAGCCACTGTCATTCCAAGTGCATTAGCTAACCCCAGCTTGAATCTTACACTACACTCTGCCAACTTAGGGCATCTGCAGCTTCCCCCAAGGATCTCTGCGTGCGGCACAGGTTCCTCCAGCAGCAGGCATAGACCTCCTCCTCCTCCTCTCTGAGTTGTACCTCACTGCCTGTCTCTCTGTGTGGGGGGAGATGGTAGGCCCATGAAACCCCTGGGCCCCCTGGAAGCAGAAGAGCTGGAGGCATTGAGGGGAGTAAGACCGTTCCCCTGAGAAAGGTGGAGGTGGCTGCCTATTCCCATGGAAGCGGCCCTGAGAGTTGGACAGCACAGTGTGGGGGGAAGTCACAGCCCCACAACTGAAGTCTGAGGACTTTGGAGTATTGTGGAGTGTTAGGCCGTTTTTCATGGCAGCAGTGAAGCCAACCAGATAGTTCCCATGGACACAGCCTTGAGCTGTGTGCAGGTGCACATTCCTTAGTATTTTTGTAGAAAGATGTTTATGTTATGTGTGTGAAAGTAGAAGTAGAAAAACCTAATAAAAGGCTGCCTGCTGCTCTGAGCAGGCAGACATCCCTTTGTCTCACCATCCTCGTGTGTGTTGTGTGTCTTCTTCCCCCCTTGGACCGGGACCCCTTCGACAGATACCCAGCGACAGTTGGTGCCCCATGTGAGGACCAGACGAACAGAAAAAAGACTGTCGACTATTGCCTGGGTCGTAGGAGTATCACGGCCGGAGGCAGGTGAGCTGCAGGGCCAGGTGCAGCGGGGTCTCGGTGCTCAGGAGCTGTATAGCAGCGGGGTGCGCTGCAGGACCCGGGTCCGATTTTCCCTACACCTGCACACGAGTGTTTCTGCTGCACTTGGAAGGCACGAGTTGCCGGGGAGGCCTGAGTGCATTTGGCACTTGTCAGGCGCAGGTGAGCTCCTGAGAATTTTTCTAAGTCACCATGGGGCAGACCATGTGTGCAAACGACAGGCGTGTGTTTATCGCCTGGAAAGCTTTGTTACGGCGTTTTGGTGTTAGACCGACGAAGCTAAGTTATGTCGCTTGTTACTTTTGTGTTTTCGGACTGGGAGAAAGGCTGCTTTGCCTGGGAGGACATTAGAGTGCTAAAGAAGAGGGGCCGGGCGGAGCCGAAGGGAGCCGAAGCGGGAGCGGAGGTTGCGGAGCGGGGTCGGGGGCAGCCAAGCGGCCCCGCCAAAATGGACGCACTGCTAGCGACTCGGCAGCACTTGTCCAAGATGATCAAGGACAGCTACGGCATGGATGTGCTGCTGATGGCCCGGGAGACGATTTTATGACCACAGTGGCTGGATTTCATCTTAAGGAGCTTCCTACGTCTCCTCCGGACGGTACCGCGCCTGTGTACCCGGCCCCGGGTGCCTGCGCAGCCGTGTCTGGTCCGCCCGCTGCGGGTGCCTGCGGGGTGGTGCCGTGTCCGGCTTCGGCGCTGCCGAGTCCATCTGTGCCCGCGCGGGCAGCGGCAGCCGTGCTGCGGCCCCAGCGGCCGCGGCCCTGGGTGCCAGCAGACTGGTAACAGCTGCGGTTCCAGGCGCCGGCTCTGAGCGGTACAACCACGCATGCGCCGGCGGCGGCCGTTCGGCCGCGGGCCCCGGCGCAGCGGCCCGGGGGGGTCTGTTTTCCCTCGCGCTGCCGGCAGCCGTGGTCCCCAGCGGTGTTACGGAGGGGTAGCGGGCTGGCAGCGGCGGCCGCGGTGTCAGGCGGTGCAGTGGGGGGGCTGTCTGTGTTCTCCCCTGTTCTACAGTTCCCCCCCCCCCTCCTCCTCCCCGGAACGTGTCCATCTGCAGCTGTTCCTTCCCTCCTATGATTCTTTCTCAGCAGACCATGTAGATAACTTGCGACATAAGGAGAGCAAAGGCAATTTGACTTTTCTTTCTGATTTTTTTTT